ACTCACCATGAGACGCTCAAAAAGCCCCAAAACTGTTAGATATAGTGTTGGAGGCTGGTTTTCAATGTAACCTGTGTTTCAGTCTTTTCAGTGAAACCGTGCGAGAAGTCAGCAGTCTTCTATCAACAAGACGAATAGACAAGTTAGACGTAGCAGAGGTGACGGAGGACATCATTAAAGGACCTCTAAAGTTGGTCTTGGTTATATCACACTGCTGCTGTCTCACGTTTCACACTGGTGGGAGCTTCCACTCCTGACAGCAGCAGAGACAAAGGCGCCTGTAGCAGCAGGCAAACTCCTCTAGGTGTCACCACTGTGCCCTATGATGTCATTTCTTTCCCATGTCTGCTGTTTTTCTCCCGTTGTCCCCTCCTGACACTGCAGCTGCGCTGGATGATGGCACGTGAATGTGTTAGCGTGCATTTTAGCACAGTTAACAAAAACTTAAATAAATAATCAACATGTGAACAAAATGTGAGATTTGAGCTGCAACCTCGCAATGTAAAGATGGTTCAAATGCATACAGATGCATACAGATGCATACAGATGTCACACACACACACACACACACACACACACACACACACACACACACACACACACACACACACACAGAAAACACATACACAAGTCCTCTCCTGCTGTGTCTGTCAGTATGACCGCCTATCAGACACCCTTTCAGACGCCAGCCAGTTACCTAGCAACCCCTCTTCACTTCCATGGTGATGCTATTAAAAGCAACAACACACATTCACACGCACACGAAAAAAAATGGACGATGAGCCTGAAAATGAAGTGAAGAGCAGAGAGAGTGGCGATAAAGTGACAGCAGAGAGGGTTCAACACGCTGAACATCACGTCTGGTTCTCACACACACACGTCATCTGTCTTTTGTCTTGTTGTGATGAGACTCTCATGTTTGCCACCTTCTTTGTTTTTCCTCTCAACACATATTTTCACCATATTTCTTATTTTTTACGCCACAGTCCGCCCCTTCTCGTGTCCCTGCAGACATATTTCACAGGTAGTAGGTTGGGTCAGGTGGTGACAGTGTTGAGGGGAGGACAGAGAGCAAAAAGAGGCAGGCGTGGAGTGTGTGTGAGTGTGTTTTCTGTTCACTTTCAAAGTGAACAACTAGCCAGATTGCCTGCCAGTTGGTGTGTCGTCAGATCTGCAGAAGGACTCACTTTATTATTTCAATTTTTTTAAAAACTGAATCTTCATCAGATCATTAAACCACTAATGAAGATTTATCCTGAACATATTAATAAAGAAAACTCAGTGCCCTCATGCCACCATTTCCTTCAGGATGCAATGGGATAGACTTCACTTCAGATGATGTAGTCTGATTCAAAGGTGGAAAATCCTGCAGAAATATTACTGTCCTCTACTGAAAAGCC